ATATAAGTTTTTGTCATCAATTATCAAGTGGTTCATTCGTCGTGTATTTTTAGCTTGGCTTATTGCGGACTAATTGCAGTCATTAGTTTTTAATTATCCATGAAGTTGTTTTTTGCCCATGAATCACCTTACTTTCTGAATCTTTAGATCGCTGGTGATAAAGATGAAAAACAAATTCTACTTGCTCTTCGAATGTATAGTCAGCGAGCTGGCTTACTGCAAGCAGTTCTAAATGAAAGTTATCAACTTTATAGATTTGGACATAACTTAGTAAGTACCTCATTTATTTTAAGTTTGAAAAGACTTTTATATTTTTAGGATTTGAAGTTTCTGTCGAATGAAAGAAATGAAAGAGAGAAAAGATTAGTCTAAGACATCATTATTTTCTCTGCCGAAAAATCTAGATTTAATGCCATATAAAAAAAGAAGATTCCTATGTGTTGTGAAAAATTATGTATCATTTTATATTTTTGTTAGAATCAGCACACCGAAGCTTTGCATCTTGTTTTGGGTGCTATGCAACGTCATCTGGAGGACAGCACACTACAGATTGCTGGATCCGCCTCATTATTTTACATAATTCGTAAAGTGAGTATGAATCGTGATACAAAACGAATGGTTGTCACCGCACTGCTGGATGGGATGGATGCACATATGGAAGAACAGGTAATTTGGAAGACATTTTTTTAAAATTATTTTAATGGATGATTGATTATTTTTCTTTAGTACTTGCAACGAATCGAAATTTATCATTTTAGAGTATATTCTTTTTCCAGGTAATGGTTCGGAATTGTTGTTTGTCACTTTGCCAATTCGAAATACCACTGGAAATTCTTTTCGATTATGGTCGTGTAGCCCGTTTGTTGGTTGCTGTATTGCAGCATCACAACAGTGACCACTTAACTCAACGTATAGTAGTTTTTTTATTAAATTCAATGGCATGCCATGTAGAAGGCGAGCAAAAAGTTCAGGTTGGCAATATTGGTGCCATTGAAGTGAGTCTTCTTGAAACTTTTTTTGTTTTGTAAAACCATTTTAGTAGTTCTTAATATTACTTTAAATTTCTGTTTCAATTCTCAACTTAACTTTATTCTTTTTTTTTTATCATGGCTGCTTCATATGTTTATTTTCTGCATGTTCAGATCATTCTGGAACAAATCCGCAGAAAACATGCTGCTAGCATATGCGATGATGTCATGGAAGTAGGATGGAGTTTTCTGTGGAATATCACTGGTTATTTTTCATTTCTTAATACTAAGCAAATGTTAAGTTCAAACATTCAGTTTATGAATCACTGCTCATTAATTAATGTATATTAAAACCCTACAACTGCGTGCTTTGTTTATTTATGGTACTGCCATCTCTGAGTTAGAAAACACCGACCTTTAATTAGTGATTAAATTAGATGAAACACCAGTCAATTGCGAACGTTTTCTCAATGCTGACGGCCTTCGTTTATTTCATCAGTGTTATCAACAGTTTCAAAACGAAACAGAACTTGTTCGTAATATGATGGGTTTGATTGGGAATATTGCTGAAGTAGAGCAGCTCCGTGCACAGCTCATGCTTGATGATTACATCAATATTTTCTGGTAAGAATAAAAGTGTTTAATTGTGTTAATCATGAATTGCTTTATACCATATTAATATATCCCATCATTTATATTAACTAAAACATATTTAGTAGTAACATTAAGGTAATACAATTCCATTATTAAATATTTCTCCGCTTCAACATCTTCAGCGCTCTATTAACAATGTTAGTTGATGGCATTGAGATTAGTTACAATAGTGCAGGAGTACTAGCACATATGGTTAGTGATGGAGAAGCAGCTTGGTCAAAAGTGAGTGTATCACGTACATATGTTATGGATAAAATTATCAAGGTAAATTTTTTTCCATAAAAGTTGAGGTGGATTACTTTCCATGGTCGTTTTGAGTTAAGTGAGCTAATGTCCTGATATCAGTTAGTAATTTGTATGTTATGTATCGAACATTATTTTCTAAATTATCTTGTATTATTTTGCTTTGTATCTTCTGAAACATTATCTTATAAATGCGTAGTATTTATAATTGTTTAAGATTACAGTGATTCATAAAGTAATTCAAATATTGAAACATTCTGATATAATCAGTGCGAATGGATGCCTTTTAGGCCACCAACACTTGGGATTTGGAAGCGAAGCGATTCATAAATTATCGATCGTTCAAGCCGATTTTAAGGCTCATACCGATGTTCGATGCCCCAGCAAGTCAGCATTGGGCAATTTGGGCACTTGCTAATCTAACATCTACTGATAGTAAGTTTTATCGTTTATCTTAATTCACACAGTTAAGGTTTGACATAACAAAAAAGTCTTTATGGCTGAAAAAGAGGTTAAGCTCAAATTCCATCTAAAAAGCCCGTAATTATTTGTCGACATTCTGTTCTTACTATCATTCCACTGAGTCATAAATATACTTGAATGCTCTCTTAACTCTATTTTTTTTTTATTATGTACCCTGGATGTTTTTATAGAAGATAAATATTGTGCCTATGTTCTTCACGAGGGTGGCATCCCTTTGCTGCAACAAGTCGTCAGTGACGAACGGTCTTCGGATAAAATGCGCAGTTTAGCTAACGTTGTCTTGAGAAATATCACCGAATGGTTAGTTCATATTTAAAAAGTGTCTAATTGTGTATCATTCTTCTCTGCGATATTTTTTTAATGCATGGAAAAGAGTTGTTGCTAAATCATTTTCATAATATAGACTTCTTTTTTACTTTTAATAGCTCTTTCCTAAATTAACTGCTGGATGATTATTGCTAACCAAAGAAAGTTCAGGTAGTACAAGTTTTTAAGGCAAGATAAGACGGCGGGATGGAAGAAGTTCTAAACATTCCTTTTTATTCTAAGTCTGCTCATTTCAAGTTATTAATATGTTGATCTTAAATTGAGTGTTTGGTAGTTAAGAAAACGAAAGCTAACGAAAATGACGGATATATATTTTTAGGGAATGCTCGAAGTACACACCTCCACCGAGCATGTTTTAATCCAATTTGCACATATTTTTGGATGACTTCCAATTTCGAAACACAAGGCTCTATTTACAGTACAAGAGTTTGCTAAATATTTGTCTTTGTCATCAATTGTATTTTCTAGCCAAAAATCTCTATTTCTTGTTTTAAACAGTACGCTGTTTTAATAAATATCAAATTTTCTAAAGTACGAGATTTATTCTTTATGTAATTTGAAGAATTTTAGTTATTGGTTCATATCTAATTACGTATCATTCTTCTTTTCATAAATTGCAGTTTCGAGCATATTTATTATGAATTTCATGGATTTTATAAGTCAAACCTTCCCATAAAATTATACGAACTTACGGCAAGGAAGAAAGTTGAAGGAAGCAAAGTGGGTATGGTTGGGCGACCTGACTTATATTTTTTTCCTTATATTTTCTTTAATTTGTGCATAAATTTTGAAAGTAGATATTGAAGAGGAATTTTTCCTGAATCTGGTGCATTTGCCACTATTCTAATTTGAGAATGGATTTTAGAACCTGTTCATAGATTGTAAGTGTGCCTATGTCTCGTATTTTCTTGTATGTATTACTTTAACATACATAAGCTTTGAAATTTAAAAATTTCCTAATTTATTTAGTTGGTATTTCTTCAATTTTTTATGGTTGTACTTTTTCAACAGGTAAAAACATTAGCTGTCATCCGCCGGTCTTATATCCTTTTATAACGAATTAGAATTAGGATTACGATTAAATTAGAATTAAATTATGTCCTTTCATCTTAAATTGATTTGGAACTTCTCTTGGGAAATGATTGATTTATCATAATAAATGTGATACATAATAAATATGATACAGCAGGAAATATTAAATTTTTACTGGAATGGTGATTAATTTATATGTTAAGAATGCGAGAAATCAAAAGTTGTCCAGTTTTCCTTGGTTTGATTATATTAGTGCGAATGATAAATACTTATTTTTGTCTTTGAATTCGTCATGTTGGCAGGTATTGTGCATCTTAGGTATTTTCGATTACTGTGATTCTTATAAATTTTTGTGTAAATCCGATATTTGAAATTTTATTTTGTAAAAGTGCTTTGGAAGAAGGAAGTGGCACTATTGTTCATTTGTATGTAAATTAATCAGTCAGTGTGCTTTTAAGAACATATTACTGAGGTCTTCTGTCTTACTAAAGACAATAATTGATAAATGATCATCTGTGTTTGTCTTGACTACTGCTTGCTAAATAAAATATGATTCATAAAAATAAGGTTAAAATTTTGCGATTCTCGTCAACTATTTTTCGAAGACAACTATTCTTTTACCAACACCTTGAAGTTTTTTTTCAAATTTTTTTCATCATTTCAAAGATGACATGAGGAGTTCATTTCGTTAAAGTTCTGGGGTTAATAATTTAGCTGAGCATTACACATAAATCCCCGAACCCTTTTCGTGTCTTACCATTCATTATACTATAAATAGCTAAGTTATGAGACAGAAACATGTCGGTGAAGTTTTTGAAATTTAACTGAGAACTGAAAGGCATTAAAGCAAGCGAATTAGTTTGACTAATACTTTGAAGCTAGATCTCTTTTGTTTGGTGGAACTTGAGTCTGTTATTTGTTTCAGCTTTGTGGGAATATCGCGAACTGGATGAAACATTTTCCTTCACAATTTACAATTTGCAAATTTCGTTGCTGAAGTTTATTGAAGGTAAGACTGGATCTAAATTTTCTTTCAGATTTTGATAATTAGATGGAAGGCAAGTTGGTTTAGTACAAGTAAAGTTACCAAAAAATTTGTGTTCTGTGGGAACAAAGATGAAGTTGAGGCAATATAATTTGGCTTGCATCTATACCACGCATTGTTAAAAAATATGATAGCTGTATCTTGACATGTAGTTTTATTGGTTACATAAGGTACGCTAAAGTTTGGATCTCAACAAGTTTGGACCCTGGATTTATCTTAACCCTTACTAAGTTTTTAATATTTAGGTTATGGTATCGCAACTTGTTGTCTATTCTTTGCATGTCACTCCACTAATTGCTATTTGGGTTGCTTTACTGTATGACTGGTTACCATACACCCGTAATTTTACGAGGAAATATTATGAATTTATCCTTTATCTTCCAATTTACGCCATTTTTTTACTTGGGATTTATGCCATGTGTAATGTACTGTACGGTGTTGCAACATTCAACGATTGTCATCAGGCCCGAGAGGAACTGAAAAAAGAAATTGAAGATGCAAAGGCGGATTTGAAAAGGCGGAATGTGATTCCTTGAGTTATTTTATTTTTGATGTGGATTATAGTTGTAAATCAGTCACACCGTCAATCCCATAACGAAATTTTCTTGGATTCGACTTCAAGTTTCGCTTTCATTTATTAAGAATTTACGCCTTAAAATCCAAAATACGATATTTGGCATTTTAGACTTTACTTCTTACAGAGAATCCGTTCATATTTTCCCTTTTGCTAAATATGTTTTGAAGTTAATACTATCTTTATTCTCACTTTGTGTTTCACAGTTGAGTCTTGGCCTGTTTAACTCGTGATCATAATCATAAAATTGGGTTAAAATGTTATTCGTTGCAAACGTTTTTATCAAGCAAAGTTAATATATTTATATGTGCTATGAAGTACTTGATGCATGTTAATTCAAATCTAAACTTTCCTCTTCATTGTATATATGGAATGAGTAAGACACATTCGACTCTGTTTAATTTCTGTGATTTTTTTTCATCGGCTTTATTAGGATAGCAGTAGCATTTTGTATATCTGTTGTAGATGTCAAATAAATGCTTGTCATTAATAAATTATTACTTTTCTAAATTTCAAGTTGTATATACTTCACTTTTTTATCAACTCAAATACAACACTTCGCGTTTTAATGCATTTCAAAAAGCTCAAAATACTTAGATTCTGAATAAATCTCGAAATTTTTTTTGGTTATCAAAATGCGTTTTGTAGTGATAGGTTAATGCGAAGGTTGGATGGAAAATAAATTCTTACCTAATTCTTCTTTCTCTAATTGGTTGAAAGAACTGGTTATTGGCAAAGGAAGGTAAGGCCAGTGGCCCAGTGGCGTAATTAACTTTCCCGAATTCAAGTGTGAAGTTGGCATTTTGTACCAGTACGTAACTTTATGCGAGAAATATAACAAAAAAGCGAAATTAATTTATTAGTCATGTTATAATGAACAATCAATGCTTATGAAATACTGAAACGAAAGCTAACAACTGGTGTAGAAATGAACGTTGGGAATAAAGCTTTAAATGGAAATTTGCTTGTTTTCCTTTTTTGTCGTTCATTTAGAAAAATAATATAAATATCATCTTATTACAGTGTCATGTATATATATATATATATATATATATATATACATAAGACATAACGGACAGCCATATATGTCACACATAGATACAAGAAGAGAAGATAGGACAAGAATAAAGTTAGACACCCGTCTCACTTCTGCATACACCACCACTGATGAAAGTGACTGAACAAACCATCAGGGCTTTGTAATGTGATCGTTTTGGGGAAGAGAGAGAGAGGGAGAGGGAGAGAGGGAGAAACACAAGAAGAAAGAAAAAATATTTCATCATTGGATGGACATCTTCTTTTAACTTGCAATTTAACTTGTGGAAGAGTTTTGGAGGAATTGGAAATCTTTACAAGTAGATAAAATGACTCTTGATCTGACTGACTGCTTCATTTTATGTTTTCCTCATACGTTACCATTCTTCCTAGATTTCAGAAATGGTATTGATATAAGAGTAGACAAGAGGATATTTAGTATGATACTGGTAACAGTTATTACAACATAGAATGAAGGAAATTGAATGGTAGGATTAGAACACTGTGGTAAATGTTCAACAATATGTAACTGTGGCGTAAATACATCCAGGGTATTAAATTCCAGGACTGACCGAGCACGGCGTATTTCATTTTGCCCATGTGCATGACCATGATTGTGTATATGATTGTGTTCCAGTTTCGGACAATTCGGCGGTGTCAGTCCGATACAGCCTGCATCCAATTTAAGGCACAAGGTTATCTGAAATTAAAAAGAAGCTGTTTATCAGCTCTTTTCGACTTTAGATATCCAGACATTAAAGTTGCAAAAGAATGTTCCAGCCTTTAAATTGGTTACATTTTCATGATTTGATAATAATTAAGTAAAGGTTTTTCTCAGTATTTCAATCTTTTGATGACATGCCTGACACTGAAATTGTAATACAGGTCTATCGGCATATTTGAAAACATGGTACGGCTTCGTTGCTAGTCTCAGTGTTTCATCATATTCTGGAGTCATCAGTAAAACAGCATCCACTCCACATCTATAACAAAATTTCAGTTATGTTTAACTGAAACTTAAAAAAAAGGATAATATCTTGATAAATGATTAACACATTTATCAGTTATTTGTCTCACTTATTATTTCATTTACTTTCTCTTACTGTAATTTTATTTTTATCTGCTTACCTACTCATCTCATATTTCTTGACTGGTTTATCCATTCAATTGAAATCGTCTCGAATGCTGGTAAACAAGAAATTAACATACCCTTTATTATCCAGAATATCTACTCGATCGCCAAAACCGTTATCAACGTAGCATGAATGCACAAGCATTCCAAATGTATCAGTCTGATCTTGGCATTCCCAACGGTGGTAGACATTTTCACCAAGTTGTGCATACTCTACAACAGGTCCGTCCTGTGACCCACGCCTCAGGGTGTATTGACAACGAGGCATCTCGTACATCTTTTCACGAAACTGTGTTGTGATCATGCTAAATATTGCCAAAATACGTTCAAAACTGTAAGCTTATTTTCTTTCACATTTGTGCCATATCAAGAAGAGTAATGCGCAGTTGTCTATATTGTCAAGAAACCTATAATGCGACTACATTACATGATACTATATATTCACCTCTATTCCAAAAGAACTTTATTTCTATTATAAACATATAGAAGACACTACCATGTCACGTACTCTATCTACACAGTTCAATTTGCCGGGGTGATTAATAACGCAATACTGCATATTCTATAACAACATTTTAACATTAGCAATATGAGGCACATACCTAACTTCCATTGGTACTGATACGGACTTATCAGCTTCCATATAAAAACACTGCACTTTCACCATTTGATCAACTTTTGTCATAAATCTACAATATGGTCTTTTTTTAATTTGAAATACAAGTTATGAGTTTGAGATACTGTTAGCAACTCGACAAGTTCTTTTTATTGAGTTACTTCCATTACAGAATGGGGTAATTATTGTAGTTACTTACAGCGCATGAAACATGAAGACAACTGTCATTTCAACGAAGATACCTCGTGGGCTCAACTAAAAATATAAATAAACAATATAAAGCGAATAGAAAAAAAAGATCAGGAAGAATGGAGAATTCTAGAAAACATAATTAAATGGTGTGAAACGAATGAAACGCACAAAAATTAGAAAGTCAAGAGATATTCCCGCCCAGAAAAAAAAAATTTTTTTTTTTAAATTTCTTAAAGAAGCATATAAAATAATAATGATTAAGTTTTGTGTTATCAGAAGATTATGGAAAAAATTTCCTTACTGAGCGATATCGATGTATGTTGCATTCGGTGAACGGTATAGTAATACCGATACTTCGAGCATCTGGAAATTCCTCGGGACCCGCCCGGCATTCCTTTTTATGAAAATGATCCATAATAAAGACGTACCCGTCAAATGGATTCTTTGTTGATGCTCGCACACCAATTCGATCCGGACCACAGATTATATCAGGTGTGCCCGGTCCTATTTATGGTGGTAATGTGCTAATTAGACTAATGCGTTAGTTCTCATAGAGATATCATAGATAACGCGCAAATACACACTTTCACATTTTTCAAAAAAGATACACATTTTCAAATATATTGATTATATCAGTTATGTTATCCATATTGTAACTACTGGTAGACACACAACAATTAGCATTACAGGTAAGCTTTCTTAAGACATGATGAATACTTCTACAGATTACTGTTAGCTGCACTAACTTAAAAGAAGTGCAATGCTCAAGGTATGAAAATATAAAAATGAACTTGAGGATTAATCAATGGATTACAAGGCCACAAAGTAAAACTTATTTCAAAGCAGGTTAAAGATTTTAAAGCAAATTAGAAAACGTACTAAATTCAGTTTTACACATATCCCAAGTAAGTGAATCTGCAAGAGTTTTGCTCAACTCGTCGAATGATTCAACCGTAAGCACTCTTGCTGGATTTCCAGCTATCTGCAATCTCCAATAAAATCATGTTCGATTTATCGTTCATTAATAAATTAATTAAAATTGTAGGTAAAATGAGGTGCAACTAATCATTAACTATTAATAATATAGCAATAATTACCTGATGTAACTGATGTACATTAACTAAATTCGTAACACCAACTGCATACACCATCACATGCGCATCTCTCAATTGTTGTGCGCTTTCAGCAACACTGTCCTGAGACTGACCATCGGTTACTACTACTGCTACTTTTGGAATATTACCTCCTCGTGCATTCTCAAAAATGATTATAGCATTAGGGACCGAATGATCTGTTTAATAATTAATCACTGCAACACCTTCCGGGAAGTACTCGAAAGCTTATAATGAACTACTTCTATAATTCATACAGTGATTATAAATAAATAATTGATTACTATTATAAGATGATCTCAAAATCTCGAAATCTTTAGTCTACTCTCAAAGGATTTCGATACCTGAAAACCTCGTTCCAGAGCAAATTTAAGCGCAGCTCCCGTATTTGTTGCACCTGACAGATATTTAATCTGTTGGATAGCCCATTCCATCTAAACAGAAGTTTAATTTGAAAAGCAAAAAAAGGTCTAAAACTAATTTTGCAAGATCTTCTTTGAAAGAACTTGTACAATGTCTAAAACGACATTATATAATTTCATAAATACAGAAAAAGTCTTTCAACCAAGAAATCCCTCTTATCAACATCATATTGCCGTGTTCGTTGTTATGCAAGTGAAACGAAGTAAATGAAATAGATCACATAAGCCAACAAAATCTATCCAAATCAGTTATCTGCCAAACAGTTGGTGATTAATAGTTACTAAGAGGCGATAATACGACCATCTCAAACACACTGTTATTATATTGTTGGAAGTGGAGAACTGAATAAAATGAAAGAGACTTTGGGACTTCAACAACCATTACCATATTTGCGACAGCAGACTTAATATTATTATAATAAATAAATACAAATTAAAAAAAAGGAAGACCACTTTTTGACTTCCACTGATTTATATGATTATTCTGAATTTCTCGAAAAACTGCATTATTTGATAAGAGAGAAAAAAAAAAAATCAGTGAAAATGAACAATGACAGTTTTCCTCTAACCCAACAGTTTAAACATTTGGAAAGTTTATTGTACATTTCCTTAGATATATAACCGCTTCGACCAATTATCCTTCATCTAATTAATTTCGAGATATTTATCACTCTGTAGGATGAAAACGAATGAGAACTAGAAATGGACTGGAAATTGAAAAATTTTTTCCTTACTCCAAAAAGTATATTTAAGTATTGTTGAAATAGCCTGACTCTGAAGCTTTAATTTGTTCATCTAAAGAATCCAAAGTGACAATAACAGAATCAGTGAGATCAAGAGTGAAGCTACTTTTCATTTTTAAGTTCGAGTTTCAAATAGTTTTGAGAAAGATTGGAGCAGATTATTGAATAGTTTGGAGTAAGGAAATTTAAACGGAAAGTTAAAAAAGCAGAAAAACATAGACTGTCTGGTTTCGAAGACTTTACAATAAATTAGTTTTTTGACGTTAGAATAACGTCACTATGTATAAGGACTGAGTAAAAGCAATTGTAAGGAAAACAGCATGCGAAAGGTGCAAAAGATTTGCTATATTTTTGAATTGCCCAACATTTTTAATAGAATAAGAATCAAAATAAATAATTAATAAATACTATATATTTTGTATATTATAATATTATGAATTATAACATTAAAGATACTGTCATCGATGAGTGGAAAGGATGCAGACGTAATTCACCAAAATCTCGAGTATTGCAAACGCTGAAATTCTCTTGCTATTAGATAAGATCAGTTATTTACAAAGTCTTCAAATACCATGCTTAGTAAATATCTTTTGTGCTTATAAAAACAGCAAGACCAGCAAATATTGTTGCCATAAAAAAAAAGATTTCTAAATATATTTAATAAGCAAATATGTAACTTTAATTCAATAATTTGATTTATCGTATTTGTGTAGGATTTCCTTCTTCGAAGTTTCATCACATGAAATAATAATCAGGTAAAAATGGAGAAGAGAAGAAATTAGGTCAAAACACTTAAAAAGATAAAATTATTACTAGTTAATCTCTACACATATTATCAGTTTTCGACTAAATATGATGAGATTGATTTCAAGGTTTCAAAGTTTAGAATCAAGATATGTGATAGCATAGTGTAATAATGATGTCTCAGTACGAAAAATTTATAAAAAATGCTAACAAAAACAAATTTTCCAGTATGTGCAACATTTTATTTGCTATCCTTGAATTGAATTATAAAAACCATTCAGAACAGCTTCTTCTGAAGATATTTGATGACCTAATTATATCACTATGATTGCAATTGATCTGATACAAAGCACTACCACTCTGACCAAAATTTTAGCAATTTCTTCAATTATGTTTAAATAAATCTGGAAGAATAACATCATTCATTCTGTTGAACCGCGATCGGTGCATTACTTCTATCAGCAATATTCTAGTTTTTTAAAGACAAGACAATATTCTTATCAGTGCATTGATAATTTTTGTTATTATATAATATTTAAAAATGCATAAATCATGTTAGATGGTTTACGCAATACAAATCATTAAATCTACGGATATAAATATAATCATTGTGTTCGCCAGAAATGTAGTTCTTGATTATTTCCAGACTGATTATTATTTCCCAAAATAAAAACTAATTTTCTAGTATATCTGACATTATTTAATACTGAATCAAATTATTAGTTGAATTAATTCTCAAAATTATTTTAAACCGAAAAGTTCAATATTTACTGTATTATTTAGGCATTGCTAATAAGATTCTATAAGTGGAATGACAGCTATCAACATTAATTTAATGCTTAATCCGTCAACTGAAATGAAATAAGACTATAATACAGAAATGTGTCAAATTCTCTGCGATAAGGAAGGAAAGAAAAAAAGAAGAAACCTGATTAGAATGACTGTATTGATTAAGTGTAATTTCAAGTTGAGGATTCTCAGCATACTGAATGATACCCATTCGACTACCATCCTCTGTGATATTTATCCTTCGTAGGATATGCACTGCGAAATTGAGCTATAATTAATAGGGTAAATAAAGCAAGGTATGTATTACATCAATAACTGTAAATAATCTGATAACTAACAATTAATTGGCTCTTAGTTTCATATCTTGAGTATTGTTATTTGATCTCAAAAAACGAAAAAAATTTAAGTGCTTATCAAATGAAACTTTAAATTGAACTAGAAATTTGTAATGTTAGATGAATGAATCCAAATTTTTGACTAAGCGTTTTAGGATGAATTCTTTTTATAGGCTAAAACTCACAAGCAATTGGAAAGTTTCATCACCAATTGAACCGGAACCATCCAATACAAGTACCAGGTCAACGCTTTTATTTGTAACGCAATCTGATCATTTGTAACATGATTAAATTCGGTTCAGAATGCGGATCATTACACAGCTGGATGAATATAAAGCATAAGGAGGAACTAAGACTACTTTCTTTGTTTTTAGTCGATTTGAGGATCTTGTAAACAGACATACGCCAACAAAATTTGTCGTGAAATCTGACAAAAATTCATCAGGGTGGTACACATTATCACCAGCAATGATAACATCTGAGTGATAAGCAATAATTACAACAGCTGCTACTGACTGCCATATTTCTGCTATTGTCTGCATATGAATTCAGATCCATGATTAGTTTATGAAATGAATTTTACACCAAGTCCTCACCTTTGATTATTTCAGCATCTGCGAGGGAGTTATCAATCGGTATGGTTTCTACGTTACGCACCGAACTCTGTAAGGATTTGATATTATTCGACTTAAATGAAAACCAAAAAGGTAAGTTTTTTCATACTGTAAACTACGGAATTAACTTAATATAACTGACAAATTAACGGATTAATTAAAAGAACCTACAATGAAAAAGGCGATTACAATATAGAGTAAATTTCGTGAAAATAATATTCCACTGCTTCTTAACACCATTGCATTTCTGTAAGGCAAGCAATCACAAATGTGATTAGTCAATGATTTGGAGTCTGAGGATACACATATGATAAATGATGTCGCCGTGAAAACAGTCGCCATTTCCAGCTTTTTAATGAAGATGTAGTAATAAAAAATGCGAAAATTATATGCGGAAATCATAAGTGTATGGTAATATCTTAAGTTATCTGTAAGTATAACACATAAATACAGTAAAAGATGTGACTTACAAATTTAAGAAAACTTTACCTTAATTATGCTATTAATTCATTTCTCTCAGTTAATGAATGAATTGAAGACAACTAGCAAATGTTAATCAACACTAAAGATTGAATAAATAACGTGTTTTGACAAACAATTTTGGTTTTAGCAGACAAGCTTTTATAGAATATGGAGGAATGAAATATCCTCATGTGATTTGTTTCAAAACTTATTTTGCAATCATTAGTTTACCATTATTTCTACATTGTTTGCACATAACTTTGCATATCGCACTTTGCTATGTGAGCAGATTAATAGTAAATTATAATTATAACTCTGAAAAAATCAATTTGTTCTTATTCAATTCAACGGAAAATTTGAAAAGTAAGCAAAGAAGAGTAATATTTTCAATATTTTTGACAATGAGATGCTTTATGAAGTATGAGTATAGAAAATACACTAAGCTAAATCAAAATTCTTCGACTACAATGATTTCTTACATTCCAATCATTACTCTTATTCATTTATCAGGAACAGGAAAGGATAGAAGTAATTCCATTGATTTTTTCAAGAACTTTCAAAGTATTTACGCTCCCAAGTTTTTTTTTTTTTTCAAGTGTTGTAATGAGACATTATTCCGTTTCCGTTTATCACACTTCTGTGTTCCCAGTTCAATCGAATAACAAATCTTATTTAGCTAATTTCTGGTCGGAACAATCAGGTGAATGAAACATATAAATCTTTGAACAATAAAACTTCCTTTATTTAAAGAATTCGCAGAATTGGTGAAAAGATGGTGAATAACTCCATGAAATTACAATCGAAAATACAACAAGGAATAAAGTATACGGATATGACTTATTGAAATCGTGAAGTTATGTTAAAATTAATACCAATGTAAGAAGTTTTAAATAGAATTTTTCCTACATTTCTGCAAATTCTGAAATACAAAATTTATATTATAGTATATACACCTATTACAATTTCGACGACAGAATTGAGCACAACATATCCATCGAAAAGGCACTTTATCTGACACCTAGGCCTCTCTCTCTCTGCCTGTTCAGTTTCCCTTCACATTATATCTTGTCTGGTAGCAGACTGCAAGAGAAGATGAAAAAATTTTGAACTGCAAGTGATACAGTTGTGCACTACTCACGGTACGCACACACGGATCTCAAGAAAAGGCATCTTTATCACTGCCAAACAGAACATCCTGAAGAGTTTGCGGGAGCTGAATGAGAAAAGATCAAACAGTAAGTACATTCGATGCTTCTTGATCTCACTGGTCAGATTTTTATTTGTCCAATTTACTGTTAGAGTCACATTGGATAAGAAGTATTCTATAGTAGAAGTAAGGAATGGAAAGAGAAAAGTTTTGATAGCTTAATAATAATAATAATCAATTTTTGAATTCTGATTCACTGGGAGCAATAATCATAATGAGAGGTTGATCAAATGAAGATTAATTACCTCGTCTTGCGCAGGAAGGGAATCAGAAAATTTCAAGAATGTCCTCGAATGCTAGATCAGAAGCCAAGAAAAATGGCCTGTCGAAGTGAAAATACCTTTATGTCTAACTATTATTAAATTATTTCGGTACCTCATCTACGAGACCGAAATCATAACAGGTATTATTCAGGAAGTTGATTGCCGTAAAAAATATATGTTGACAGAGACAGATAATGGGAAATAATACAGATTCTGGTTAGAAATAGAATAAAGAGAAGGAAGGGAAGAATAGAAGTGATAAAGATCGATAAGATCATCTATCAACTAGTTGGATTGGGTCAACGGGCATAAAAAACCTTTCCCTTTATGAATAGTTTGCAAAAATTCTATTTGGAATTAAACGGAATTCATGAATGTCAGCATATCAAAGTGAAACATTAAATATCCAAATATTTCTGTTATCAAAAAAAAAGCAGGAAAGTTCTTCATTTCTTCATCACTTTTAAGAATAAAATTAGAGGAAAAGCTAATATCAGCTGTTTGGTGCTAATCGCGTTACTAAACTTTCCAATTTTTAAGAATTTCAACTGTGAAGTTACCGAAAAGCTTTTTTCTGTGCGCTTCAAAAACTCAACAAAAACAAAGTATCGTAATACTTTCGTAAGTGTTGAAACAAATCTTAACTAGTCCAAAATGAATTATCGTCAAAAATCAAAGGAAACAAAAATGTATATCTGACAGAACATTAATTTAACTACATATGTGATGTGACACTTTATCAGTTCATTTTACAACATAGTAGACCTGAGTACATCAAAAACAATTATTGAAATATTGAAAAATGATTTATTAAAGATAAAGAACTAATATGAATAGTGATGGAGAATCAGATCCTACAGCTGAAGATTTCATTTTAGTGATTTTAATGAAATGCGGGCAGTGTGAGCTGATGGATTGCGCCAGTTAGGTACTACGAATGATATTTTCGTTTTGTGTGTCTTTACATGTCTGAATTCAATTTCTCTCTCAACTAACTGAAGAGGATTTTTTGATAAACTGGAAAATAACAGGCTGATCGACTAATTGAATGGATCAAGTGAATGAATCGAAACTTGGTAATTTAAGTGATGATAATCTCTAGTATTTTTCATTTTCTTTCATTTGACTAATAAAACAAATATAATGCACATTAAGAATAATCGGATATTTTAGCAACTAGGATACGATATTTTGTAATAGAATGATAATTTGTGCCGGTTTTTAAAAGCTCTTTTCAATATTCTTAGAAAAGGGGAAATTTTTAAACTCTTCTATGGATCAAATGTGTAAAGATAGTAATGTAATTATAGTGATAGTGCCGCCAGAAAAACGATCTGCACGGTATTCCAACAAATATTGATTTCATAGCTGAAAATGAACTTATCCAAATCTTATAAATGTACAAGAATAACTTGGAAACAATTGCTGTTAAAAATCATGTATAATTTGTAATGCATAGTGACTGAAATTAAAAAAATATTATCATGAAGAATTCATACAGCACCATCATAATGTGCAAGAACCAAATGTTGGTATTTTCAAGTTCTTTTTTATATATTTTAAAGTTCTGTTCGAAAATTCAACAAACAAATTCCTTGAAATCAACAAACCTTTTTAAGTAAGGAATGAATTAACTCCGCAGTTATGTTGGGTCAAGAGACAAAGGTAATTTTATTGTTAGATTCAGGCATAAAAAAATTTTTGGCGAAATCAAAATATGACAAAATGATTAAAAAATTAGAAGAAAAATTGCATATATTTGCTCATAAGAAGTTATTTGTTGTTGTAAACTTGAATGCTTTTAAATTGTGTTACAAGGACGCATCGATCACCCCTCATTGAACTGCACATGTATAATTTGGGCTAAAATTATGGAAAATTAGCAAATTCAAATGATCATTGGAAAAATGCATTGTACATTGGCACCCATTTGTGTCAGAATTCATGAACATTGTTTTGAAACATTCAGTATTTTCTGCTTTCACATGTGCAAAAATTGTAGGAATATTATTTTGCTAAATTAATCCCAAAAATCCTCTTAAAAAAATAAAATTTAACAATTTTCCAGCAAAGACAGAATTCTTCTGAAAGTATTTCGAGGTCGCTGAAATGCTGAGCAAAATTGATTTATCACTAAAAAATAAACTCATAATAATCAATCATTATTTTATCCAATCCAAAAATAGGTGAGAAGGAAAAGAACGAAGCTACCGATAACTTCATTTGTTCCAGTTAAACTTTAATAATTATTACAACTTCATTGTCGTTTGAACATAGAGAAAAAAATACGGAGTTTTTGTGAAGCATATTGCTTAAATTAAGCTTTTTTGTATCTTACCTCAGAAAGGGACTAGCTTCGTTCATTGAAGACAGCAACTGAAAGAAATACAGGTCAAATTTTTCTATTATTCTTAATTTGAAAAAAAAAAACACATACAAGTTAAATGAAAGTAATTAACACTGAAAACAAGAAAGAGGAGAAGAATTTGATTCATTAAAAAAGATTTATTTAAGCTTTTAAAAATTCAGAAAAAACCTATGTCCAGTTTACCTCTTTCTGTAAATTATACTGTATAACATTTCTCATTGCTCTTTTTTCTTTCCTTGTTATTTCATTTATCAACATAACCTCAAATAAAGATAAGAATAAAATGACAGAAGTTTTTAGATTTTTATCCAACTGATAGATTATTGGACACAAAAACTTGTTGCTGATTGACGATGCTGCCAACATCCCACTGAGAACTACATCGCTCAACAAACCATTTGAAAATTTAAAGAAGGGTAAAATTTTACGACTACGAGAAAAATAAATATGTTTTCATTAAAAGATAAACTATGCTATCTAGCCCAGAGTGGACAGTGAGAAAAAAAAAATGCATAATGAGATCCATTTAGGAGCACAATACATTACTACAGGAGTAAATTGTTCCATAAATTCGTAATTTCTGAGAAAAAAAAATGCAAAAAAAAAAAAAAAAAACTTGTAACTTGTAAATTTATTAAAAAGTATTTTCTTTTAATATTTTCTCTCAATAAAAATTGAGAGGTCTCTCAAAGATCTCTCAAAATTGGCAACGTGTTTACTTCACTCGGTTTAATCTCTTGGAACATGTATCATTCAACAGTTAAATCGCATCGACGACTGCCAATTCACAATAAGTGTCAGGTAGATCACCTACTGTTAAAGTAATTCTAGTGGGGTAAATTTATTAAAAATTATAGTCATAAATAAGCAATCTTTCATCATAGTATCATAGTACCTATAAGAGAGTTCAAAACCTACGTTTAAATTAATAAAAGACGAA